AAACAGACATTACGGGGCTTCCGCCTAGCCAGTGTGACCTTAGACTTTTTCGGCCTTTGGTTGTATTCCGGCATGATGGTCTGGTTGGCCACGGATTAATGTCTGTGTATGCGACAGTCAAGAGTTGTGAGCTGTCTGGATATTATTACTATTAGTCGTTGACTCGTTGCAAGATCACCCCTTCAAATAAGAGACTAAGAGTAAATCGGAGAAGGGATCATTCGTCACGGTCATGCTCCTTTTGAAGCGGCGGGCCGCTGTACCGTCAACGGGGTGGATGAACTCGCTCACTGCAAGTAATTCCCAACGAGTACTGCTGAAGAAACGAGGGAGGGAGTATGGCCTGGATCTGGTGTCGACACGTCCAGTGAATGACACTGTCCAGAGTGCTTCCGTACCGTGGCTTAGACACACATTGACCAGGATGATGAATTGCTGCGCATATTATTGCTTGACCGTCCTTGCCCCAATCTGGTCAATCTCTCATAACGAGGTCTCGCACTTGAGAGGATTTGGCAATAAAAGTCGAGACTAGCCAGGTAGGTACTACGGAGTAATTGTGGCCAAGCGATCAAATCAAATCAACAATAATGGGAATTGAGTTCATTTGACCAACGGGATTCCGTCAACAGCCCGCTCCCCTAGTTCGATCAATCACTACCTCTCGAGAGGTACTTGCGATGGACATTGTAAGATGATAGGTTCTCAGTAGTGGTCTTGTACCTAGCATTGCATTGGCCAATTACCAAGGCAACTATTCTAGTTACGACGGCACACTTAGAAAAGCAACTGAGATCGCCGGCTCGATTGACTGGTCACTTAGCCCTAAAAGTGAGGCGTGCTTAATTTCTGCGTTCATGGATTCTGAGAAAGTGAATTATGAGAAAGTGAATTGAGTCCGCTCGGTCGTTTTTTCCTCTCTCTTGTCTTTATCGTATCGGTCTGGAATATATCCCAGGATGTAAGCTTTAAAATGAGAACCTTCAAAGGTGCTGCATGAAGAATTTAAGCAATGAAAAGCTCATGTACTAGACTCCATGCAAGTTCAGCTTAGCTTCAGCCTTGATGGGTTGCAACGGACATGGATGCAGGGTAAGGCCGTCTTGACTCTAGTACTGGATCCGCTGCATAGATCGCTGCTCGGGGATTACGAGGGAGAACTACGAGTTTAAGGGTGCATGAGCTTAACAGCAGGGAACGAAAGGGAATCAGAATTAGACAGCGCTCATGAAAAAGGAATAAATCATAGGTATCATATCAAAGAGCCGTGAGACACTCCGTTCCTGTTTTGCTATAGATGGATCCTACGAGAGGTCTGAACCAGATGTCGCATGAACCATCAGATCCCTTGAATGCGTATTGAGACAACTTTTCTTTCTTTTTTCAGGTTACGCATCATAGAATCGTCTCATGAACCGGCATCGTACAGGCCACAAAGCAAGACAAGACGTCGACGCCCCAACGGATTATTGAAGGCTTTTTATTATGTCCGTCACCATTGGCACTTACCACACCACATTTAGTTGGCGATAGCGTAGGCACGGCGGCGGTCACGCTCCTCAGCAATGGTGAGCTAGAATAATTGTTAGCAGATGCGCATTGGAATCATAATTTTCGGGATGTAATTTCGTACCTTGACACCCTTGCCCTTGGGCAGAGAGATCCAGGGCTTCTCCTGTCCAATGACGAAGACGTTGGACTCACGGGTGGCGAAGGAGTTGTCAATAGCGTCCTTGATGTGGACGATGTTGAAACCTCCATCGTGGCGCTCACGGTGGGTTATGACACCAACACGACCCATGTTACGACCACCGGTGACCATGCAGACAACACCAGTGTCGAAGCGTACAAAGTCGGTGATCTTGCCAGTGGCAATGTCAACCTTCACGGTGTCGTTGACCTTGATGGCAGGGTCGGGGTAGCGGATGCTAGATTCATCTCAGTCAGCACAAACTGCACCAAATGTTCAACCTCCCAACTGATTCCAGTAAGGAAGGATTTGGGAATATCCAAGCCCTCTCGTCCTCCGCCGATCAACCAAAGCTTGGTCCAACGACTGAATGACGCGGAACTTGTGGAGAGCATTTCACTCACGTTCTCGCATCGTGCGTAACCAAGAATGGGATCCCGCCCTTGCCAAGCTGAACTCTCTTGACCTTGCAAAGCTTGTACTCGGCCTCCTCAGCCTGGATACGGTGGACGGTGAAGCGACCCTTGGTGTCGTAGATGAGACGGAAGTTCTCGCCGGTCTTCTCGATACCGATGACGTCCATGAAACCAGCGGGGTATGTAGGGTCAGTGCGGACCTTGCCGTCGACCTTGATCAGACGCTGCATCATAATGGCCTTGGTCTCACGGCCGTTCAGGGCGTACTTGAGACGGTTGCGGATGAATACGATCAGGGGGAGGCAGTCCCGGAGCTTGTGAGGACCGGGCGAGGCCTTGGGAGCATAGGTTCCGGACATTTTGTCCAGGAGCCAGTGCGAAGGCGCACTGAGGCGCTTCTGGTGCTTCTTACTGTAGGAATCAAGTTCATGGTCAGTTTCAAGCTCTTCAATTCAGAACTCGGTCATTGCAAGCATTGCTCCTTGTTTCGCGAGAAGAACCAGTTGTCCGAAACACAGTCGCAGATTGCAAGCCGAGATAAAATTGATCATGGTGTGTAACTCACGGTCCGCGAGGCATCTTGACTGCTTTGTCGACTTGAACCCGGTTAGTTGTCGAAGTGTCACGGAAGAAAAAACCAAGGTCAGAAATCAAGAAGAGGTGATATCCGCTCCACTCACGAAATTCGCTTAGCGGATCATTCTTGTGGGAGGAGCCCTAGCGCTATCCCTAATTTAGAACCTCCTGCATGAATCAAAGATTATGCATGTGCTTATATAATCCATAGCTTCATATTTTGTAGTTATTTAGAGAGGTACAGGTCAAGCGAATTCAAATTTTATCGCTAAATATCATAATGGTTAATGTCTCTTATAACCGACATCGGTATTTTCGTCTTAAAACCGCTATGCAACAAATTTTTCTTCAGGAGACTGCACAAGTTCAAATGTAGCCTTTGATGACTGCAACCTCGGCGTTAAGAATAGACGATCCTGCAGCTCCAATGACGGTGTTGTGAGAGAGTGCAGCGAATCTCAAGTCAAAGTGACTGCCCGGTGCTGCTTCACGAACACGTCCCACACTGACGGTGTACCCCTTGGAAATATCCCGGTCAAGTCTGGGTTGAGGTCTGTCAGGCTCATCAAACACTTTGATCGCCTCTTGAGGAGCAGAAGGGCAACCAAGCTTTTGGGCCTCGGATTGGTATTCTCGCATAGCCTGCTTGACTTCTTCCGCGCTGGGTCCGGGACGGTTCTTGAACCGCAATGAGACGAAAGCCATGTGGCCATCGGTAACACCAACACGAGTGCAGGTGGCTCCAACCGTAAGCCCCTTTTGCTCATCGAAGGCAGTGGCATCTGCGTTCAGAGAACCCAAAATCTTTTGGGCTTCATTCTCAAGCTTGTCCTCTTCACCACTAATATAGGGGATAACGTTGTCCATGATGTCCATACTGGGAACACCAGGATAGCCAGCGCCAGACACGGCCTGTTCGGTGAAAACTTCCACATCCTCCACAGGACCAAATTTGGCTTGAAGAGCTGCAAAAGGAATAACAACGCCAATCACAGCGCAGTTAGAATTGCAAACCAAAAAACCCTTCTTCAGGCCGAACTCTTTCCTTTGGTGAGGGATGAGATCCAAGTGATGGGGGTTGACGGTAGGGACGACGAGAGGAACAAGGGGGTGCTTGCGATAGTTCTTGGCGTTGGAGAACACAGGTATTTCAGCCTTGATGAATTCCATCTCTGCGAGGGTCAGCGGCGGTCCCCCGCAGTTAACCTCGAGATAATAGTATTACGTACCAATTTCACCAGCTACATCGCTGTTGAGCCCCGAGAAAACAAGGTCACAGTCGCTGAACTGATCAGCCCTGCAATCGCGCAGGACGAGATTGCTAAGCCTCTCAGACATAGCCGTAGTCTGCTTCCATCTGACAGCATCCTTGTATTTCTTGCCGGCCGAGCGATTCGATGCGCCAATGGCGTGCAGCTCTAGGAAAGGGTGGTCCGCGAGGAGGAGAATGAATCGTTGGCCGACGGAGCCGGTGGCGCCGAGGACACCTGTGGTGCTGTGAGTAATGATTTAGAGGAGACATGAACTGAACAATATGCCCCTACCGCACTTCTTCTTGGGATATGATGCCATCTTGATTGAGAGTAATTAGGGTGAAGTACGGCTCGGTTGATCTGGTTTTCGAGTCAATTGGCTGGGTAGGATAGGGATGAGCTAAATTCGAAGAATGAGAAGTCCATCATCCATCAGGCATGCAAAGAAATCGAACGACATGCAAAGCCTTGGGCAAAGCAGGCGAATCCAAGTGTATGACTCGAAGAGCCTTCATCTAGAATTCAACGCCCCGCAGGCACACTCTCCATTGCCCCTCCTTCAAGCAACGGACATCATATCTTTTTGACAAACGCGACACAGAAGCAATTCCACGCACATAAATATATCAACTAACCTTTTGAATAATGCTCACCAAGGGTTTGAGGAGAGACGTTCGTGGCAACAATGTCAAGGTAACTTTTACGATTTACGGACTGCGATATCGCTTCACCGGCCTGCGCTAAGCCCCGCAATGAGTCAGCGCCGGCACCCACAGCCAGCGAAATCCGGCAACTTCATTGGATGATTCCATTCACTCTATCAGACATCGATTTATTGTTGACCGAATGGAAGCAACCTAGAGATATAGGTCTGATTTCGGGTCATCTGTAGATCTCGCTTGCTATTATTCACATCATAGATGTACAAATTGCTCCTAATCATTGGTCTCAGCCAATATATGCACGCATGGGCTATGTTATAACTCGCCTCGGATGCATGGCCGCCGAGGCAAGAAGCTCATCTGAAGAGGTCTTGAAGAGTACTTATTATTCCCTTACTCTACTTCATGTTGACGCCTCACTTTCATAGTCGAAGATCTTACCAGGGTTTAACAACCAGTGAGGATCAAGGGCTTTCTTGATGCTACGCATAACATCAAGAGTAGCCGGGCCAAGCTCTTTTTTCAAAGATGCCTTCTTGCCCAGCCCCACGCCGTGTTCGCCCTGCCGTTCGAAGTTAGCTCATTTGTTAATACATTCAGGAGCTTGGTTAGTCTAACGGTGCAAGATCCTTCCATCTCTAGGGCGCGGTCGACCATATCGTGGACAACTTTCTCAACCCGGTCCATTTGGTCGGCATCCTTTCTGTCGTACATTATACTCGAATGGAAGTTTCCGTCTCCGATATGACCCAGAATACTGGCGAACAACCCCAGGTTGTCGAGCTCCTTCTTTGAGATTTCTATTCAAGTCAGCGCAAGTTCGGAAGGTAATCTAGCTTGAGTCCTACCGATAATATCAGGTAGCCTGGAGATTGGAACGGCAACATCTGTTGACCACACCTCCGAACCTTCCTTCCGCAAGGACATCATGCTCCATAACGACTGCTTTCGCGCTGACCAAAGGTCGTGTGCCTCGCGGTCGTCTCGGGCAAACTCGAATGATGCTGCATTGTTGCTCTTGGCAAGCTCTCTCGTCAGATTGATACTGTCAGAAACTCCAGCTTTAGTTCCCGAGAACTTGAAAAAAAGGGTGGGTAAAGTCTTCCAAGTCCGGCCGGTACCGCCAGCACGGTTGATGACATCCATCTGGACATCGTCCAGAATTTCCATGCACTGTACTGGGATCCCTTTTCGTATAAGCTGCATGGCAGTAGACGCAGCATCCCGAATTGTGGGGAACGCAACAACTCCAACCCGAGTCTGTTCTGGAATCGGAGCGAGCTTGAGAGTTGCTTCGGTGACAATACCCAAAGTACCCTCGGAGCCTACAAACATTCCTGTCAAGTTATAGCCAGCAGAGGTCTTTCGGGGGCGTCTCCTAGTCTTCATTACCCGGCCGTCTGCCAGGACGACTGTCAGGTTTATCACCCAGTCCTTCATTGTCCCATAGCGCACTGCATTTGTCCCGCTGCAGTTGGTCCCAATCATGCCACCGATCATTGCGGACGGACCAGGATCGACTGGAAAAAAGAGACCGGTGTCCTTGATTTTTTCATTCAACTCCATCCATTGGATAGATGGCTGAACGACGATATCCATATCATCTTCGTGAATCTCAAGTATCTTGTTCATCATGGCGAAATCAATGGTCAACCCGCCGTAAGGAGCTGAGAAATTTGCCTCGAGACTTGAACCACCGGAGTAAGGAACCATTGGCATCCTGTATTTGTGGCAAACTTTGGCGATCTTCACCACATCTTCTGTACACGTTGGGTAAGCAACGGCGACCGGGAGACGATCTGCGTTCACGGAAGACCATTCTGAGTATCCATGCTGTTGAAGTTCATCCTCATCCGTACTAATAGCATCATCACCGAGTGTGATCCGCAATTCAGCAATCGCCTAGGCATCGTCGACGCCAGAATCAGCATCATATGCTTGGCTCCACGGAGCGATTGATTGCGAATTTCTCACCTTTTCGAAATCATTCGCCGTTCCATATTGTGGCTTTTTTGAATTCTCCAACTGCAACGGCCGACTAGTGGCAGCATATGCGTAGCCAATGCTAGCAGCCAAGACACAGGCAAGGAGCGCCTTGCCAGACGTCCAGAAGCCAGGAGCCGCTCGAGCGGGGGAATTTGATCCAGCAAAATTCCACTGGCTTTTAGAAAAACCCCTAGAGCTGTTGGAGCTGTTATACCGAGTAGCTCTGACTGAAAAAACTTGCGGCTGGGGAGTTTTGGTTTGCCGAAGAAGGGCGCGGGGATATGCGGGGAAACCCCGAGAAAGAAGATGGCCTCGTACGGCTGACATGAAGGGAAGTTGAAGGGATTACTTGATCAGGAAACTTCTCCAAGTCATGGGAGAATAATTCACTGGGGGAGATGTACACAGAAGCAAGTGGGAGAAGGATTGTTATTAGGCCAAGTTGTTCGTTGCGCTTCTTCGGTAATCGTGCATCTTGCAGCCGCACCTTATAAGCATCGACGCCATTGAACGCAGGTATGAGGAGCTGGTCGGTATTCGGCCGAATAATATCCCACGAAAGGACAAACAAGAGTGCGGGAAAAGTCCAGAGTCGGTGTACCTTATTATCAAGGACCTTCATATGCCCCATGACTGTCTCCCCCACGCTAAATGACCGCATCTGGAGTCAATCTTCATTGCCCCGGTTCTGCCCCAGATCGGCCTCAAATCCGAAGAGCGGAATTAATGCCGACCCACACCACGGCGATGTGAGAAATGGCGAGGATCAAGTTGCCAGTTCCAATTGCATGCTTAATAGTCATATAGAGCAATTGGGAGACGAACATCATCTGTTGACTTCGTTTTTCTGTTGTCTTTGAAGATTGAGTCTTTTCCCATGAGGTCAAGAGATGATGGGCGCGGTTGGTGGGGCAACCGGCAGAAACTAAACTTTGCATACATCTAAGACAGTACCACTGTTGAAAGGCTTCACGATTCCACTGCTCAGAGTATTCTCGCCTTATGGTTCAGTCTAGATGAAACCATGCCAGACAAGCTATCACTCCTAGTGCACGAAGTGGAGCGCTTGATTACCGCTCCATATGCACCTTCCCTCCAAGTAAATTTGTGCCCCGCTTGATAACAAATATAAAGAAAATGATAGCTGACATACGATGATAGAGCCTTCATGATATTATTCAAAATGACTCCAATGGGTTGGTTAATGCCTGGGCTATTCGTAAACCATGCCAAATTGGAGCTTTGGTCGATGTGCTTTTCGGCGGATTGTCTCGGTCTCGTTTCGCTGTGCCGTTACTGAATGCTTTCGGTGAGTGTTCGATGTGCTGTCAATCAAGGATTTAGACTTACGTCCCATAGTATCAGTCTCGGCTGTTTCCAATGCTCTCCTGGAGCGGTATCCCGCTGCACTTGACCACTTCCTGGAGAAGGTCCTGGAAAGTGATGAGCCTGAGGTTTGTTCAATCACCCTTGGGAATTGCTAAATACTTCAATGTCTGTCTTGATCCCAGTACGCATGAACTGATGATGACAGTGGATGGCACTCTGCACTACTATTCTTTCTACTCCTCTTCCCCGGAACTTCATTGCTCCAGCTCGTCTGGCGCCATTCATCATTAGGTTAATAAACGCAATGGGAGAGAATCCGTGCTCTGAAACCATACTCCCACTTTATCAAATCATGACCGGCCTGCAACCAGTCCCCGGAGTATTACTTGAGATATCTCCGGAGACAATGTCGAGCCTTCAGGTAGAGCTCACTAAGACACTGCGGAATCTCGATGACCACATGGGCAACCTCCTCTGTCTTGCTACCTTTGCCCGGATCGCATCTTCTTGGGACACTAATGCTGGAAGAGAACACGGACCACAATTTCCATCTTGGTTGCAGAATGTCAAGCATTTTTTCGGTCAGAAGCGCGGTTTAAAAACTCTGGACCTCGTTATCCTGCGCGTGATACTTGCATGCTCCGCTAGTTGTGACAATCTGCCACCAAGGAAGGCAGCCGAGAGCATCCGATTAGCAATCGAGATTTGTGACAGCGTAGAGGAGGGCCAGAAGGACTGCTGGATTGCGAACAACGCTCCAAAAATTGCCAAGCTTTGCGAGAAAGTCAACAGGAATGGTATTGACTGGCAAGTGCAAATGATGGTATGATGCGTCCGCCTATGAGACGGCCGAGCCGACTGTTAACATCCATAGGGCCTGACATTCCTTACCTCACTTCTACCAGACAGCGCGTTGTCACCTGAAATACCTCGACTTGCTTTGCAAGGCCTTCTTACTCAAGAAAGACAATCTCACGAAGCTGTACCCCAATATCTTATTCCACGTTTGGTGAAGGCAACTGTTGTAAGTTACTCGTCGCTTAGGTCTAGAAGCGTACTGATCATTTTTAGGTTCTTTCGGGAAAGCCTGCGATTTGTGATCTCATGAATCACACATTCACAGCATTGAAAACACACTGCGATAACCATAATACAGATACCGAGTTAATCGAGTTATCGAGGTCGGTACTTCTTGGACTTCAGAGCGTGGAATCCCGAATCTTAAGTTCGGCCATGGCGACTTACGATTTAAGAGAGATGAACCGGACCTTGAACGAATTAACTGAAACCTTTCCTGAGAAACCAAGTCATTCGCAATGCGAGGGTGCCAATCTCTGCTACGCCTCGACTTCCAACTCTGCGAATGAGTTATTGTTCGGCTTAATCGTGTTTACTACTCATATGTCACTGTTGGGCGCAATGGGTTCTGAAGCCAGCCACCCAACTGGAACGAGCAATTTGACAAATTGTTTACAGAAGGCAAAAAACTTGATCCCAAAAAACCACTGTAGCTTCTCTGAATTCAAGCCATGGGATTTACGAGTCAAATTTCCGATAGTTGGACTCCCAGAACGAGGTCCCACTTCGAGAGACGATTGGAGGACTGGGATAGCGAAGACTCTGATGCTCAGTTCGCGCATGACCCATGACAATTTAATTCGGAAAATGGAGGAGGTCTGCTTCGATCTCGAACAGCGTTGCACTACAATCGAAGCACCTCTCCGAGAAGTTGAAGATGAGCGTGATCAGATTGCTGCACAGGCTGAACAACTTCAGCAACAGAAAAGCGAGCTGGAACTGCAACTACAGCAAGCTTCTAGCACAATATCTGAGCTGCAGCAAGAAATTTCCCATCTGAAGAAGCATGCTCGGTCAACTTCCGCCCGCGTCGAGGAATTATCAGCAAGCCTTGATACTGCGCGAACGGAGCTGGAAGATCAGCGTCGCAACTCCCAAGAAACCACCAACAATGAAAGAGAAAAAGCTCGAACAAGGGAACTAGGCCTTCTTGCTTCAATCACCGAGAAAGATGATCAGATCGAAGAGCTTCAGGAGGAAACACGGAACTTGCAGAAAGATAATGACTCCTTGCGCCAAACACTGGACACTGTCTCGAAGGAGAAAGGCACTGCTTTGGAGCACACAACTGCCCTCAAACAGGACATAGCAAGGCTAGAAGAATGCGTTGAACACGGCAAGCTACTCCTTGCACAGAAGGATGAAGAAATAAGCAGACTACAGGCAGATCAAGGACACATGAACTCGAACACGGAAGCCTTACAGAAGAAGGTACAAAACTTCCTACTTTTTCCTGCAATAAGTAATACTTTGTGCTGATTTCTCTCACAGTTGGATGAAGAGTCTGCTCAAGTTCAGGAACTCAAAGCCGCGCTTCGAAATGCCGAGGAAACGCGCAGAACTGAAGTTGGCACACTCAAAAAGCAATATGAGTCGCAGATCTCGGAAATAACTGTGGAGGTGAGACAACGCTGTCAAAAACGAAAGTAAAATATTCTGACTCAGGCGCATAGTACACTGAGAACAAAGAAGAAATGAAGGCTCTGCAAGCCGCCATGCATGTAGCCGCTTCCAACGCCACAAAAGAATTGCAAGCAAAAGAAAAACGAATTCAACATCTTGAGAGAAAGGTAGAGCCAGAAACTTTAATATTTTCAAATTTGGGAGGACACAGACTCACCAATCTCTGCAGGTGCAACAACTACGCGAAGAACGGGCAATCAAAGCACGCGAATTTTCCGAAGCCCAGCAACATATTGGTCGTCTGATGAGTGTGATGGGCTTCAAGCCTGGACCGAAAGAGCCAAAGGCGGCAAGCAAACAGCAGCGCTCCAGGTCAACCCTGGGGCAATCGGAAGCCGCCACAATACAACAGCAAACGCCCCAACGGGATGAAAACACACAAAGCCAGTCCGATAATATGCTTGGTGATTCCTTCGCCTCTCCCACATTGCAGTCGGGACGCAGTCCTAAGAGATTCAGGACCACTGCTGCGGACCAAGATCTGGGAGAGTCGCCTGCTCAAAGCCAGGCGAGGCCACGTCGTACCAGACAAGCCCTTGGAGATGCAAGCCGGAATAGGCAGACGAACTCGCCGCGAAGTGACGCTTCACCGTGTACTCCGAATGCTTCACTCCAAGGGACTCAAAACGGGCCTAACCGGGACGAAAACCACTTCCATGACATTGACCTCGACATGGACCTGGAGTTTTCGAAGGACCTCATTTTCACTAGCACTGCCCTCTCCGAGGCGAATGATCATATACCCTCACTGCGGTCTCAACAATAATGCGAAGCAGTTCTCAAGAGAAGAACTCAAACACCAGTTGATAGAATGGCATCGACTACCATGTAGATTGATCTGGGGACATTGTACCGTATATATCCTCGAATACCTTCTCAGCTGGCTGGCATATTGCGTGAATTGGAGACAAAGACGCAAGGTTTCAATGGCAAAATAAACAGAGACATCTTTGATGCTCCACCTCTAGAACATTCACGTACAGACGTTAAGCGAGCTGTATCACTTTTAGCGTCTGCTCTCGTGCATGCTTTGTTCCAGCCTCTTTTATCCGTTCCGATAGACAGTATAAGACCCTACTCTATCGCTCATCCTTCCATCTCTTTATATCCTTTCACAAGCTAATCTTCCTAAACACTGCGATGTTAGAACCATTTGTCAGGCATACAAGTTTATGTGTTCAAGGTATAACAGCTCACTGGTATGTCTCCCAGAAGCCTCCATGCCCTAATTTCACTTTTTGAATAAACAGTCCTCTTTGAAGAGCTGCGCTCAGGTTCTTGAGACGCAGAAGCCTATCGATTGTTCCAACGCTGTGGCTTCTTTTGAGTTTGAATATCTTGCTGATAGATAACAGCTTCTTCAAGAACAGACTCATCAACCCTCATCTCGAGGCTCCCTCATTGGAAGAGAGATCACAACGTTCTTTCCCTTCTGCAAAATGGAGAGACATATGGAT